AAATTTAAAGACAAGTCATCCAATGTCAATGCGTCCTGAGAAAATGAAATGAAATTCAATAAACGCCCTCCACGAAACATGAGAGCATTCCTCCCCCTCATCCTTGAGGAACTTTCCTAAACCTTCAATTCGTGATATGCCCTTAAGAACAAGCCGAGCAATCGTTAAAATATCTATTAAAGAGAGAAAGAAAAGCAAAAAAGGGCAGGAATATGATAGGATCCTTGTAAAATCCCGATGTTTACTCGGCAAGAGTAATCAGTTGCCCTTCCGTAATAGCCAATCCACTCTCTCCAGAATCACTTATCCCGCCAAACGACTTCTGGAGTGTATTTCCATTGGAAATTCTATTGAGGAGGGAGAACCTCCCACCAACCGTGAGACGCTCTATGTTTGGAGAACTGGGAAGCGCAATCTCGCCATTACCGTCTTCTCTAGTCAATATCTTTTTGATGCTACGGGTGTCCAGCTTCTCAGTGGAGCTAGGGGAAATCCTACTTCCACGCCATCTCATAAAGCCACTAGCAGGAGTTGGAGATAGTGGTGGTGGCGGCGTGGAAATCCCTTCCGGCTGCTCATGAGAGAACTTGCAAGAAGGCCAGTAGTCGCACTCTCCGAAGCGGAGGAAGAAGGTACAGTGAGTCTTGATGTGTTTGAGAGGGTCTGTCGCGGACTGAATACGGCCCGGGGTCGGGCAAGCTATCACACCTAGCAAGTCGCTAGAGGGCACTGTAGGAGGAGAGTCTTCAGAGGTCTGAAAAAATTAGTCTAGGCCATCAAGGAAGAAATAGTGCGAAATGATTTCAAAGATAAAAGAGTGCTTACATTTTTCCCCTCCTCACCCGTGTCACTTTTTGGTGACGTGACTCTCCTCCACCCACCCTCCATCTTCTTGGGAGTGGTGGTACCATCGGCACCACTGCTTCCACTGTTTCCTCTTTTCAAGCAATGATATTTCTCGCCCGTAAAAGCGCTAGATTCATTTTCGTGAAGATAGAAACAATCCTTTCCGCGTCTACACCCGATTTTGCGGTGGAAATAAGCGCAGAGTTCGGTTTTCTTGCCTTTGAGGTTAATGTCGTAGGTATCACCGTCCACTGCAACACCCGCAACAGCAGTTATACCACTACCACTACCGGCTTCACCACTGTCGGAAGAATATTGATTATTATGGTCTTCGTCAGTTTCGGGTTTGCAAAGTGTATCTTCTAGAGACCCGGTGCCATCCGGGGCCTCAATAGAGCTTGCCTTCTGCCACTTTTCTGGCCTCAATGGGGTCTCATGACGGAAAGTGCAGTCGGCACCCCACTTGCAAACAGCGTCACGTAGGAAGGTTTGGCAGAGATCCTTCTTAAACAAACCTGAAGCCTTCAGACGAGACTCGCGAGCCGTAGGAGCTTCCGGGAGTAGGAAGGAAGGCTTTCCGTTCTGTAACCTGGCCTGCGAGTGATTTGGGTGAATGTAAAAACGATCATTGTCCAGAGTTTCCTCTCCTCTCCGAGAAGCAGAACCAGTGTTAGAACCGGGGATAGCACACGTGTGCATTTTCCTGGCTTGACTGAGACAGTTGTGCGGCGGACCCGAGGGAGTGGTCCCAATCCTGTCCTTTTCATCATCACCATTTTCAAATTCCCTCTGCCCACAATTGGACAGCAATTTGTCCCTATGCAGCTCAGGGCTTTCCCCTCCGGACGATTTTGCAATCTCCTGGACAAGGGTGATGCCGCCTATCATGTCAAGCGGAGGAATGACCGTAACCATTGCTGGAAGGTCCTCGGCAGCAACAAGAGGACAAACTGAACCGTCCTTACGGAACAAGAGATATCGATACCGAACTTGCAACTTTTCTGAATCGGGAGAGCTCATTTGGGGGCCGTGTGTTTGAGCTGAGCTTTCTGCAGGCATTGCTCAATTTGAAATAACACAACACTAACAAATATCACAAGGGTATATACGATGTACGAGTATGCTGGCGGTGAGATCGTAGAAAATGAGGTATAGGCAGCTAGCAATAGCTGAGTGGGAAGGTGAATCGTTGGTACATATGATTGAATAACAGGATATGGGGGGGGAGCGGTAGAGAGGTGGAAAGGTAAGTCTCTTATTACGAAGAGATGATTGTCACAACCTTCTCGGCTGCGTCCGCTACTACTCCCGCAGCCGGTTGTTTGTTAGGAAAGAATGAAAAGGAAAGAGCAAGGGATAGAAGGAATATTACATTTAAGTGGTTGGGAAAAGGTTTTTTATCCCCTCTTTCTTTTCTTTTCTCCCCCTCTAGGGAGGAGAGGGTGCGTGAATCTGTGTTTGGTGGCTAATGGAAGTGCTTTGAGGGAAGCAAACAGGTAAAGAGACCAGAGGGGATCTGAGAGAGCAATGGAGGATGAAGAATTGGAGGAATTGTGTGATTGAATGAGTTTATGGGAGTGTGTGTGGGGGGGGGAAATGTGGGAGAGACTGAGTGGAGGCGCCGTATGTGAGATCAAGGGGTTGAGCATGTAGGAATATGAATATACGCTGTATGGAAATATAATACGTATGCTACATATCATACAAAGCAGGCAAGCAAATTCGCACATACCGGTAGACCGCTGCACCGATACACTGGTGCCCAGACTGAAGTACAGAGAGGCCAGACAGGCCAAACAGGCGAAACGGGGGATAGAAGTAGGAAAGGGCAGCAAAGCAGTTGGCATTTGATAATATATGAGACTGCGTGAAGCCGACGTGGACATGCATTTAAGGATGAACGACTCTTTTGCTAGTAATTTGTAGATAAATTTATACGAGTAGGGAGAAGAGAGGGTAAAAAAAAAAAAAAAAAGGAAACCTCTACCGCATGCAAGTTTAGAGAGCCTCGATGGTAATCGTGATTGTACAGTACTGTGCTTGCGGTGAGTTGCTTGATTGCTTGCCTATTGCCGGTTCTATATGATGGTGATCGTGTGTGATGCGGATATCCGTATAACCCTGGATCGGTTGTGGTAGACCATTTTCGGCTTTCCTATGGGAAGATGCCGGTAAAGAGGATGGTATGGTAAGTTAGGTAAATAATGGGCCGGCTCGTTCTGGAAAATGCCAAGTGGATAGCCAACTCGATTCACCTGTGTGAGTACATACATAATACATGCTGGTCATAAACACATGGAAATTCGGTGCCATATTGCAGTCAGGTAGAATAAACTGGAGCTTCCCTACCACGCCCCAGTGGCAAAGCGTTCATCCTATCTCACCCTCTGGGAGAGCTGGAAAGGCTTGAGTGGTGTGCAGTGAACTATATAATGTACGAGTAGGGGATGTGGGTTGTAGCCAACGATGCTCAACTCCCCACAACACCACTTCTTCCCACACCCAACCTCAACCCTACCAAGCATCCACCACATCTCAATTCTCATCGGCCGGTAAAAATTAAGGGCGAACAAACACCAGCAGAGCTAACCCGGGTCCAGGGTTGGGAAACAAATCATCTCTTACCAATGGCGCCCCTCCTGTTTTTTGCTGTAGAGAGTGAGAGACAATTTTTTCTGGCTGGAATTCGCCGTAGCCTACCACCTCAAGTACCGTGGGTACCGGCAGAGTACTGACCGGTACTGTAGTGGCCCCGTAGCAAACATTAGACTACCCGGCTAATCACAGGCCACCATGAGGTAAGCTTGGGAAAGCTTTATTCAATTGATCCACGAATGACGGTAGTGGTGGGACAGCTCGGGCCACCTATTCTCTTTTGTGAGGTGACTAGAGCCAGTGGCGATTGGCAAGTGACAAGGAGAGGGTTAAGTCTTATAACATACCTTCCTGGTGCCAAAAATGCGGTCACTATGCTATGGGAGTGCACGATCCCTCTCCTCCGAGTCCAGACCAACGGTCACCAATCCCATCTCATCATTAAGTCTCAGGCAGTACAGTACCACAAGAGTTTTTTAATGCAATTCTGTCTGCCCCGTCGCCGCCTAGATACTTTTTCTCTCTCTTCGTCACTCTCCCCTCTGCCCTACCCCCACTATTCCAGCCCACCACGGCCGATCCTCTCTGGCGGGAATATAATCTTCTCACCGAAGGGTTAGTTGAAATACCTGTCTTCTCCCACCCAGGTCCGGGGTCTTATCTGTAAGCTCCCTTACCTTACCTTGCTTGTTGCCTGCGCCTAGAAGAGAAAAAAAAAGAAACGCACACACAAACTCTCTTTTCCGCTCGCCCTTTTTCCCCCTTTACTAAAATAAAGTACCGGCGCATCACATATCGAAATATATAAACACCTTTTTTTTTTTTTTTTTTTTTTTGGCTCTCCTTTCGTCTCGAAATTATTAAATCGGTATTTTGAAAAGGGGCACGTTCCCCTAACATCCTACTGGTATTACAACAATGGGACCACGAGGTGCCCTTCTCCTGGTTGGTTTGCAAAATGAATTCCTTGACCCCCACATGGGTCGTTGTCTCATGACCCCCCCGGAGCCCGGCAAGCCGTCCTTTGTCGATAACATCAAAAATTTCCTCCCTCATTTCCGCGCAAGGGGTGGCGACGTCATCTGGGTACGTTCCGAGTATAGAAAACCACGTGATTGCGAGGATCCCAGGAACGATGAGGTTGTACTTCTTGTCGACGATGAGGGGTATTATGTGGATGAGGAGGAACAAGAACCTCTACCGGAGGCTAATACTCAAGAGGGCGCTAGAAGGAAGGGTAAGAGTGCCACTACTCTTAAACACGATGGACAATTATCCCCTTCCACCGCCAAGCGCAGCAACACCACAGCAGAAGAAAATTATGTTGGCCCCCCCCAGTTGCATACCGACGCATTTCTAGCTATTGAGAGTGACAATCCTCCTTGCGCTCCTTCTTCAATTGAGAGTGAATTCTATCCTCCGCTACTTCCCGTGATACAGACACCTCCGGACCGGGTCTTGATAAAGACTTGGTTCTCCGCATTTAAAGACACGAAGCTTCTCGAGACTTTGAGGGGGAGATTTATCACGGAACTCTATCTATGTGGGACCATCGCAAATGCCTGCATTCTCGCTACAGCTGCTGACGCTGCAAAGCATGGGCTCGAGGTCACCATCTTGACGGACTGTGTGGGCTACCGAAGTGAGATGGCACGTGATAGAGCTATGCGAGTTATGATTGATGATTTTGCTGTTGAGGAGGTTCGGAGTACCCTGCTGGCCAAAAGTTGGGAGAAGACAAGAAACAAATCGAAAGGAGCAACTGGGCCAGCCCATGCTGGCGTTTCAGGAAGTCTAGGGATGAACGTTGGAGCAACTGGAATCTCAAGGGAAGATTTAGTCAAGATGGTGGAGGGATTGAAATCAGCTACGGCCCAGAGTGCACGAAAGGATGACGCGAAAGCAGAGGTGGAAAAGTTGCTCGAAGTTGATACCGAGAGCTCTGGTTATGAAAGGGGGGACTATGATTATGAACGAACGAGTGAGCTTGGAGAGCTGAGGCTGGATTCTCTTTCGCTGAAAGACGGCGATGCACCTCAGCCACCGGATTCTGGTGAGTCAGCCGGGGCAGCGGTTGAGGGAGGGGCAGAATCTCCTGTTCCTACCTCTCCCAGCCCAACCTCTGCCAAACCTCAATCGCCCATTCAGGATAAAAATCCGATAGAAAGGGCTCCCGCAACCAGAGAACCGGTGCTGCGTAAGCCTAGAATGGCTAGCCGCAATAAAAAGTTCCAGTCGAAAGCGCCTGTCCTGGGCCAGGGTGATGTGTTGGGTGAGGGTGATTCCGAGGTGGTGAATAACATTCTACCGGCAGATCTAGCGGATGTGGCATTTGAAAGATTGAAGAAGGAGGTTGCATGGAGGAGCATGTATCATCGTGGGGGGGAGGTTCCACGGTTGGTTGCTGTTGAGGGAGAAATTAGTGATGATGGGAGGTAAGTTTGAAACATAACCTTATTTTCGCGCAAGGGCTCCGGGGGGTCCCCACATTTCTAGCAGCATTTCGGACTCACTATGTTTTATAGTTTCCCCATCTACCGCCATCCAGCTGACGAATCCCCTCCTCTGCTACCTTTCTCAGACACTGTTGGACTCATTCGGGAGTATGTCCAAAGGGTGCTTAAGCAACCAGTCAATCACGTTCTGATCCAACATTACCGAGATGGAAATGATTATATCTCAGAGCATTCTGACAAGACTCTGGACATCGCGAAGGGATCCAAGATAGTCAATGTGAGTTTGGGAGCTCAAAGGGTCATGATTCTACGCACCAAGAAGGACCAAGGAAAGCCAGATGAATCCTCTGGTGCGGAAACGAACCCCGATAAATGTAAAACGAAAGAATCGGCACCACAATCCTCACAACGACCAACCCAACGGATTCCTCTCCCTCATAATTCAATGTTCGTTCTTGGTCTCGAGAGCAACAAAAAGTGGCTTCACGGAATCAAGCAAGATAAACGCGCGGAATTTCTTAAGACTCCCAAAGAACTATCCTATAACGGCGAACGGATTTCTCTAACCTTCCGACAAATAGCTACTTTCCTTTCGTCAGACGAAAAGACTATATATGGCCAAGGAGCTACCTCTAAGTCCGAGCATGAGCCACGGGAGGTCATAAACGGCGAGGGACCTGAAGCCGAAAAGCTTCTAGAAGCTTTCGGCTCCGAAAACCATCAAAGCGATTTCGATTGGGACACCTATTACGGCGCCGGCTCGGACGTCCTCCACTTGAAGGAACAGGTCCCAAAGCTCTTCTTTGTTAGAAACGATCCTGGCGGTCTGCGGGTGAAAATCTGCCTCCATGAGAAGGGGATACGATTCGTCGACCATGAACTTAAGATCACCGAGGCGCAGGACGAGACTCAAACGCCTTCCTTCCTAACCCTTAGTCCACATGGCCACACTCCGGTGTTCATAGATATTGACAAAGAGAAAACTACTGTCTGCGAATCTCTCGCCATTATCCAATACCTAGAAATGTTCTACCCCTCAAAAGAGGATAAGTGGCTACTCCCATCGTTAACAGACGAGCGCGCAGCCTTTGCCCGTGTCCTGCAGCGAATGCAAGAATCCGAACAGCTTGCGACTGTCTTGAAACATTCGCACGACGAAGGGGCCGTGGAGCGGGAATTCGCGATATGGGAAGAATATCTTTCCAAAGCCGGGGGACAAATTGCAGGAGACGAGTTTTCCCTCGCAGATATAGCAGCGTTTCCCGTTATCGATCAATTTGTAAAGAGGACTGGATACAAGATTGCTAAGTGGCGTGAAATTGAGGCCTGGTTGACCAATATGGGGTATCGGGAAAGTGTTAGGGCTACCCGGTAGAGTTCTGGGCCGGGTGCCGCGGAATGGACTCGAGATGTTTTTCTTTTTCCGTTACTCGCTTCCATTTCTTTCTTTTTTCCTTTTTTCCTTTTTCCTTCTCTGTTCTTCCCGGGGGCGCGCGGATGGCCCCTTTATCCTTTATTGAATAAAATCGAATTGGTACCAACGATCGGAGGGAGAATAGCTGTTTTTATAGCTTCCTTTTACTTTCTTAGCCACGATATTATATGCCAAATCTGTCGAGACTAGTCATAAGAAGTGCCTCCGCAATTTTGCGATGGGTCTTTAACTGGAGGACTCAAAGAGAAACACACCGTTAGGGTGTGGTGTCATAATGTTGATGTTCATACAAATAATCCCTGTTTCACCAAAGTTGCATGAACATACTCGCCTCACTTTTTGCTCTTATTGTGAACTGCCGTAGCAGAACAATTATGGGAGAGGATATTTGGCTCTGCTTGTTAGTTTTAAAAATGGAGGCTTTTTAGGATTTGTTCGGAGTTTCTGTTGCAAATTCAATTTTTTGACGTAGATTGGGGATGGGCAAGTGTGACACTGGACAGCAGAGGGGGACACGGAATCATAGGCGTGAAGAAAAATATTGGAGGTTCTACTATAGAATAATGGTGATGTTGCAACGTTCCTATAGGCCGTAGGACCAGGGCATTTTTGACGGGTGGGGCCCGTTTGAGATATCATGGGTTCTTTGACAGATCAGTGAGCATTAGTCACCCTTTGTGTAAATTTATTTATGGCTTGTAGCGCCCCACAAGCGCAATGACATATTATTATATTATTACTTGGTGCTTGCATGCAAATTCAGTTATGGTGCAACTGGCATTGGATTTTGCTGCGTTCCCCCCCCCCTCTCCGATGAGCCCATAACTTGATTTGCACCCAAGTATTATAAGAGTAATAGAATATGGTGACAGAAGTTTTGGTCGGTCGATGTAACAGGAGCATGCACCATTGATATTTAACAGCCAATCGCAACCAATGCCTCAAATTAAAGATGTAGAAATAGGAATTATAGGTAGCAAGGATACAGTAAGGGGGGTGAAAAAAATTGAAAAAATCTAATATTTAGCACATCAGCAAAAAGAATCTCCAGCATTGTGCGCTGTCTGTAATGCGGGATGCAATTAGATATAGGAATAGGTATTAGGCTATATCTACTAAAATATAGGATATATAGAATGTGACTGACTATACATGGCAATATTAGAACATAATATTATAATATTATAATTATATATTATCAAAATAAAGAATGTATAGGGTACTGATATAAAAACACTGAATGTACAAGATAGAAACTAGGAGTATAATTTGTAGTCTCAGGCTTGATTTAGGTTATATAGTAGGAACTTCATTTCACCTTAAAGTATTATTAAATTGATTTATTATTATTAAATCTGAAATACAAAAGTTAAGATTGCCAAATCCATGAACTGCCCACTACTAGTATTCTTAAGTGCCAACTACAGAATAGCTAATAATCTTACATGTATTGGTATAGGGTAGATGCTCTTTACTAAAGCAAAAAGATGACATCAAGTACTACCACATTTAGAATATCAAGTCTTAGCAGCTTTACCTTATACATCAAGGAGAAATATAACTTTAAAGAAAAAATCAGACTTTAAAGCCAGAATTTCAGCAGAGAGATCCTGTTGGAAAACAACTAGAAACTCTATAGATATTAGTATTAGGAAGGTAATTTTTAGTATATTACAAAGCTGAATATAAGTAGGATTGGGTATTACAATCTAGTAAGTACTAAGCATTTTACTAAATTTTGTGAATAATATAATTTTAATAGTAATATAGACTATAGAGATGTAATATTAAGAGGATATTATAAGTATACTTCTTGCAAGGAGGGAAAAGGTACAAAGTCAGATCATAGAGATTCTTGTTCTTAATTCTGATGCAATTAAGAAAGTATGTAAAAGTATATATATACAGGTTTGCATCCTCTGTATAAGCTTTATATAATAGAGAAATATTATAAGGAAAACCATAAGTGCAACAGTGTAAAACTATAACGTGTTCGTAAGATGCTAATCACGTTATCGGTAATGGATACTATAGTTGGCAGGTGGCCTGCTCTTCTGGAGAGGAGGCGAGAGCTGAGAACTAAAGGAGGCTTCGAGGGTGTACTGAGGAACAAAGAAGTAACCGTTCAACCAAGTATATTAAAATACTGTCTGTCGAAGTCTGCCTTTTTTATCGTAGAAACAGGTGGTCTTTAAATACACAAATCTGTTCATGTCTAGCATGAATGAAACTAATCAAAGATATCAATTGGTACACTTTGGTGAAACTAATTAAGTATCAAAGCGATACTTAAAATAAAACATAAAACAAAACTAAGTATCAAACGATACTTAAAACAAACTAAGTATCAAAGCCATACTTAAAACAAAACATAAAACAAAACCAATAACCGAGTACCTATACCGGTTACAAAATCTGTAATACAAGTAGTATTTGGAGTACCAGAATCCGATAACTAGGAACTACTCTAAGTAGGGTAACACCACTCAAGATCGGAATCTCTGGTCTCCAATACCCCCTTCCGAACCCCTTACAAGGCCTGCATGTTATCATACTAGTACATATCTATCTTAGTTGCATCCTGTAACTATAATACATTAGCAAAAATAACAATTGATGTGTTCTCAAATTAAGTTTACACTTGGATCTTCTTATATCCTATACATTTGGAAGACTTCCTAAAGTCTTCCAATGAATGTAAAATCCCTCACTTTAGAATTAGATAAAACAGGTTACTTTATGAAAAAGATAGTAGTTATTTATATCTCCTGACAAAGTTTGAGCTGAATTGGGCAAGTTTTCCCCTATCTAATGCCGTTTTGAAAATCAAATTTTCAATATAGGAAGAAGGGAATCTTACTACTTTTAATTCCTGTAAGTGTACAAAATATTACTCTGTTTGTAGTGTGATTTAGTACAGAATATTTATTTTCTACAGCTAATTGCTCATACAAATTTTCCTATTTAGGTAACAGGATGCATGGGATGTGTCTGGGATGTACTCCAGAGGACTTCTACAACAAATTGATATTTTATGCTGATGTACCACAGAATTGAAGAAGTCAGAATAATACAGTATATGCTGCTATCATCAATATGACTAGATCCTGTTCGCAGGATATGCAAGAGGGGACCTTTAGCAAGGTCTGAGAAGTAGAATGGAGTAAATCCATCCACTACTCAGGAAGTTGCTAGGCTTCAAAGATGTATCATCTTTGGATTGGACTATAAGTCATGGGACATTTCTGTACAGAGATATGGTATTAAATGTTAGGGGATCTTGATAAACAACTAATACATTCACATTCATCTTACAATGATTAGAAGAGTTTAGAACTTCTAAGAAACACTATTAAGAAAGTCAACAGACTTCATAGAGTGTTACAAATAGGTCAAGGAATGCATCATAGTTAGAAAAGTAATCACTAATACCATATGATGACCAAAGTCCTATTACATGAAATAATCAAGGGTTGCCAACTGAGGGATTATCCACCAATTCAGTAGAATGACTTCCTGCAAATTATTAAGAAGTCATTCAGAAAAGATTTGTTAGTTGGATTAGAAGCTATAGAGGTTTAAAGTCAGCAACCTAGGAATGTTTCATATACTACTACTCCTACATATGTGACCCTTATATGAAATTGATTATTTCATTAATACGAGAGACAATTAGAGTAAATACAGTTTGACTTGAGAACCAGGCCATAAGTCTAATAACTCTGAAGATCAGATAATTACTATTGGAAACAAGACAGTTTCCCAATTGACAAAATACTAATTTCCGAAGAGAGTGTGATGGTTTTCAGGATCTCCTAGTACTCACAATTCTGGTGAATACCTGTAATGGGACTCCATGAAGTACTATTATAGTTAGCTAAACTCATGCCCATACTAGTATTAAGAGATTACCTCGGTAGAAGTGGTAGTAGATCAGAGTCTACAGAGCAGAGGAATTGTGGGTTAGGTACCTCAGTTGGACATGCTATGCTATACTAAGAAGTATATAGGTAGTAGTAAAAAGTGGTAGTTACCCTACTAAGTAGGGTAACCTAAGTAGTCAATTTGGGAGTGACCCTAAATTGCTCTACAGTGGGTCCATGGGTTATCCTGCTATGGAGCCAAGTTATCCTACCTTGAAAGTAGCTTATTACACAGGGCTTTAGGGAAAGTTACTAGATTGTTTGTCACATGAAACTATGTCGGATGTTTGAATCTCAGGTTGTGTGGATCACTCTAGCACAACCAGTTAAGCTTCAAACAAGCTGTAACTTGAAGATTTGGTGGTTAACACACCCCTCCTGCCCCATCACAAGTCCCTATAGTCATGGGCTACGGCTTGGATAGTTGCTGTAAGTCTAGTAAAAGTCTACAATTGTAGATGCTCTTGTAACACCATATATGCTCACACCGTTCAGTCGATCAGAAGCTGTCCCCAGGATATATAAGGGGATGTTGGAGACCCTGAAGAATAGTCTCCAGGTGGCTTTGTGCAAAATAGACCAGAACTAATAGAGTAATACTACTTTAAAGTTAGAAGTAGTATGTGAGATTATCGGAGGCCTATAGGTAAGGTAACTGAAGTCTGTTGCCCTGAAGGTGTAATAGTATTAGAGAATTGTTAAGGACTCTAAGACACTAGTCTGAGGTCACAATGAGAGATACTTCTAGGAGGATTGACTGTGGGTAGCACCTATTGGTAGTCAACCTCCAAAGGTGTCTATCAGGGAAGCTATGTAGCCATCATCTGGAATGATATACAATAAAGTAGAACTAGATAGATGTTCAGGAGCTACGGATGCTTATAGAAGACTAAGTATATATGAGTAGAGAGTTCCATAGTTGGTACTGCATCTACTCAGGCATGTCAGCTTGCTACTGACATATTATAATTGATAAGAAGAGATTTTTTCTCCTGCAGCTGCATTGTAGATGCAGCAGTGAAAACATTTTTGTTGGGTAGATATTAACAAACTACAGGGTAGTATAGTTAACTATCAAGAATCTTTTGTCTGACCTGTAGAGATTGGCTAGACTGCCTAAGAGAGTTGGATGCTTGTGAATGCAGAGTAGTATTGGGGAGCAACTAGTAGCATATGAAATCTACTTAAGTATATGCGAGTAATTCTCTACTGTGAGAATCAACTACCTCCTGAGATTAGAACTTCATTGAGTAAAGCTGTAACTTATGGATATTAAGTTTTACGGTTTTTCTTCTTCAAACTCTACTGCTAAGATGTCAAAATTTTATTATAATTGTTTCCAGAAGAATTTATCTTGGTACCATTGCAATCTCTGAATCTATCTTCCAAGAGG